CTTCCTACAAAATGGAAAAACCCACTATCACATTTTCTGTGGAATAAGTTTAGAAGGTAATTATCTAGTCAATTACTGTCGTAGATTCCTGGAATTAAAGAATTAAATGTTTGATTGTTGAAACCCTTACTTCGTGGAATGCACTCATTTCAGATAAAATAAAACGTTTTATTTTATCTAAAAAATTAAACTTTATTTTGCAAATAGGTAGGTACTTATTAAACTTTTATTGGTTATATATAACCAATAAAATAAACATCTTACATTTCTTGCAAATTCATTAGTACCTGTTAACCTCCATCACTCCGACACTGGCAACCTTATTTAGGGATTAGTAACACTCACAACTATTGTATTCTATTCTGCTCCAACCTTTATACCTGGTGGTCATACTCAATTTAAAATTGTTTTCCTATATACTTCTGTAAACTTGTTGACAAATATCTATTTTTCATTGAGTCACCCGTATCAACAGTTTAGGGATTTGCATACATAATTTATTGTTTTATTACTCCCTCATACATAAAAATACACTATACAAAGAAGCTTCGGTAAAACACAAATTTTTGTATGCGGCATTGCCATATCCTTATTATGTATATGTTTTATGCCTCAAATATGCTTTGAAACGGTACATTTTTATTGTATTCTTTTATGGAATCTGGTATTTTCTAATTTATATAAAACACGAACGAATAAATATTTGTTTCTTTCGATATTAGTTGCAGTTCTACTATATTTTTTACCGCAACTATATTACTGTTAAGTATGTCAAAGAATAATATAAATATTTATTCTTTTACAGAAATTAAAGATAATTTTGGATTAACAACAGAAAGGCAATATTGTCCTATAGATGGAAATTACATTGTAAACTACAAGGGCACTGCCCAGAAGCGGGCTAATGAATGTAGAGGTTACGATTCTATACTCAATTCATGTCCATCAGGGTCTACTTTAAATTTTATGCTAAGAAATTGCACATTCAAAGGTTATGGTAAGCAAAAAGATTATTATTGCATGTTTTTTTTTCTAATATTGGCGGATTTTAGACATGAAATTTGAATGCCTTGGACACTGGAAAGGAATAGACGATGAAACTTTTGTCATTTTTACTGATAGTAGATATATGTCCAATCTTAGACCCAAATACAGATGTGCCGTGAGTTATCAAAACAATAAAATAATTATTTGCTATCTTTAATACGAGTTAACTATAATTTAAGTTAAGAATTCGTTTATTTTGACGTTTCGATTTCCACTTCTGAAATAGTTCTCAAAATACAAATTAAACAAATTATACTAAATGACATATAAGTCCAAACACCCATTATAAATTATTATATTTTGAAAATATTTTTCAGAGTTCAGTCAAAATTTCAATATGATTGAAGCAACTTAAACTATATTTCACGAATTTGCGACTATTATGAATTAGGGATGAAAGCTTTGACTTAAACCACAGGTTCTTAAACTTTTTTGTACCACACCCTAGGCCTTGTATGGGCCTAGGAACAAAACAAAAACAAATAAGTATTACATTGAAAACAAACATTTATTTATACTGCCATAATATACAACAAAATCAGTTTTCATAAAATACAAAAAATATTAATAAAAGAAAAATAGATTAGGTTAGTTGGTGAGATGGATGGAATAGGCAACTAGTAAAGAAAATGCTTGCAACTAGTAAAGAAAATGCAAGCATTGCCTATTCGTGGCTGATTTTTAGTAAGTGCACAACGCAAGTCACTAGTAACATCAAGTTTATTCCGATACTTTGTTTTAATTGCCAAAAGTGTTAAAAATGCTTCTTCACACAAAGAGGTACTTGAAAAAGGCAAATATAAACGAAGAGCTTCCGTGATGCACTAGGATACACTTTGAAATGTTTAACCAAAACGAAGGTTTGTGCATTATATCAAAATTGTATTTGGCAGAGGAATCATGTTTTATTTGCAAAGTATCTTCTTGAAGTGATTCAGACAGAGAGTATATGTTGACATGGAATGGGTCAGTTGACATGGTTTAGTCACATAGTCACAAATGATTACATTCAGGAAATCAAAATCAGAATAGAAAAGCTAGTGGACAGAACACGTCACAAACAAAGAGGTTTACAATTAAAATAAAAAAAATAGAATCATCATCCAGCCTCAAGAGTCCACTGCTGAACATAGGCCTCTTCCTCATGTTTCCAACCCCGTCTATCTTGCGCCGCTCTTATCCAGTTTTTATTGAGTCTTCTTAAATCGTCAGTCCATCTTGTAGGTTGTCGACCGACGCTTCTCTTGTCTTCCCTTGGCCTCAATTCCAATAACCTCTTTGTCCATCGCCCATCTGTCATTCTGGCTATGTGTCCTGCCCATCTCCATTTTAGTCTGGCTATCTTCTTGATGATGTCAGTCACTCCGGTTTTTCTCCTGATGTCTTCGTTGGTCATTCAGTCTCGCAGAGTTATTCCTAACATGGACCGCTCCATTCTTCTCTGCGTGACTCTCAGTTTGCTACCAAATTGAGAAAATTAGAATATCTCGGACATATTACACGTGGAGAGAAATACACCTTGCTCCAACTGATTATGCAGGGAAATATCCAAAGAAAGAGAAGTATAGGGAGGCGTAGAATGTCATGGCTGCGCAACCTGAGAGAGTGGTACGGATGTACATCAAATGAACTTTTCAGAGCAGCCGTCTCAAAAGTTCGAATAGCTATGATGATTGCCGACCTCCGACTCGGAGATGGCACTTGAAGAAGAAGAAGAAATGGTTTGACATTTGGATTTTCAAACTTGATCCTTCATACATCTTCTTGAAGTGTGTTTCTTCTGAGATTAACTCTACTTTATGGAAATTTGAATAATTGCAGGGGAATTGTTGATATTTTACGCCTCCAAAGTTGCAATTTCTCAATATCTTGATCGCACCATGATGAGTTACTATATTTGAGTCTCCAACCTGCAGTTTTAGGTTAAGGCTGTTCAATGAGTCAAAGACGTCTGACAAATAAGACAATGTTACTTTGATACAATGTTTTTTGTAGGCCACGCTTACTTAATTTTGCTTTTGATGTTCCAAAAAGGTGATTACTTCATTTCGAAGGTCAAATAATCTTGCCAACATGTTTCCTTTTTTAGAGCCATCGTACTTCTATATAAACTAGCAGTCTTTTGTGATCACTTTCTTAATCTTCATAAAGAGTTTTAATTAGTCGAGTATTAAACGCACTGTTTATATGTACCTAATTCACTAGTTTAATACACAACTTTACTTATATACTAAAACTGCATCTTGTCTGTGTATAAAACAATGTCAAGCTGAGTAGCAAAAAATGGCTATTATTTTATTGCATCAACTCCCTGGTTTTGTATGTCTTCGGCCATATCATCAATGCGAGGTTTTACAATGTTGTCAAAAAGAATAATATCAGTTGCCTATAATAGACACGATTTAACAAGCGTATTCCAATAATATGGCTCTTCTTTTTTTAACAATAAGAAGTGATAGCTTGCTTCAAGCACTTTTTCAGATGACTGAGCAATAGAACCGATAACAAGTAGAGGGTGTCTCGAAAATCCTTTAACCAGTCTTTACCAGCAAGTTTTGTTTGGTCCGAAAAATATGCACAACGGCATTCCTAACTTCGAGTTTTTACACCATAGACCTTACGTCTTTGGTGGTGAGGCCATAAGGCTTTGCATGTCGAGAATATAGGTTACAAGCTTTGTTCCTCGGTGAATATGCTAGTTTTGCTTTCAAGTCTCGTCAAATAGTCCATGGTTAGCTTTTTTCCCCCTTACAATGTACCTTAAAACTCATCAACGGTACCTCAAAATTTCTTGCTGCTGTTTTGTATGCAGTGCCATTATGCACACTTTCAATAGCTTGCCGCATCGGATCGAGTGTCAGATTAAATGATCTCGGGATCATTTAATCTGACACCCTGGAGGATCATTTTGCCCGAACGAGCAGCCATGTTTATTACGTAGCAGCCAATACTTGGTATTTCGTAAGCAACTCAAATTATTAACAAAATATTGGACTTACAGCAACTATACCACAATTGAACATTCCTAGTTGTTTAAAAAGTAATATTACAATAGTAAGTGACACACCGTATATCAATCTTTATAACATTACTGTTTACGCGAAATTCGGGAAATGCAATGTTTCTACGCTAGAGGCTGATATTCAGCTGATTGTAGAAGTGCATTGGGTGATGGGTACGCCACTACAAATACAGATGGCATTACCAGTCGTAAAAATAATGTGAAGGATCGTTTTGCCAGCAAGGATCATTTTGGGCCACCCTCTGATAAAATAATAACAATAACACTCAAATAAGAATGAAATTTTTCTTAAACCATTGGTTGAAGAGTCTCTAGCGACAATCCAAAACAGTCGCAAATTCATGAAATACTGTATACAGGGTAAATGCGCCTGGGCTCTCTTCCGATTAGGTGGTCAGTATCCTCCTCAGGCTCTAGTTAAATGCCCCAATTAACTGCTCTCAAAGTTTGAGGAGGATGCTCTAAATTAAGAAATTACCATTAAAGATAGTAAATAATATTAAAATACCAGACGAAAATAGCTTCAGAATAATAAAACAATTTTTTAAATTATAGGTTTATCGACAAGATCCAAAAACTAATAAAATACAGATGGCTTTGAGTAGAGATTCAACTTGCACGACTGACCTTTACAATACCACTAGTGGTTTCGAAACATTCTCATTGGTACCAAGAGTTGAGAGACCTTGGCCAGTTGAAGTATCTTTTGAAATGTGTAGCTTTCCTCAATGGATGTATGGTGATTGGGAACACCTAAAAATTAGATCAGACACCATATTGTACAAAGACCATAATTCCTTTAAAACTCATACTATCAAGTGTGCAGGTGTATTAGAGGATAGCGACAAGTATATTATCTTCAGTAGAACTCAGTGGTAAGTATTGAAAAATGTAAATTTGGGCAAGTAACTTTAAAATTTTATAATTATAGTGAAGAAGAATCTTATAATTGTCTAAGGATAGCAAATAGAGGAAAAAATATATTAGAGTTTCAACTTGGTATGAATGCAAGTAATAACAACGATGATGTTTACGCTTTATGCGCCGATGAAAACTTTAAATCTGATGCTTGGATAACCCAAGGACGTAAGTAAAATCTTTTCTTTCTTACTATTTTTTATTTAAAGACTAAAGACTAAGTCTATATATAATTTTACTTATTATAAACATTTTCAAGGATTGGAAATACCTCCTGGCCTATCAACTGGAATGTGTCCCATCACTGGGGAATATACAGGAAGGATTCCAGATGCCACAGACTTATGTACTAAGCTATGGTCAGATTGCAGAGCTCCCGAACTTATGTACTATCAGGTATCTCATTGTGAAACTGAAGAAATCTATGAAGAAAGGGAGTATCAATGTTTGGGTCATTGGAGAGAAAGGCATCTATTATACACCTACACCGAAAGGAAAGATGTAGCTGCTGGTACCTATGAATGTTTTGTAGGATCGATTATCACGGAAAGTGAAATTTATATTAAAGAGGCTGGTGAGCACTGCCAAAGAACTGTCGATCCATTAAGATATGGAATGAAACTTTTAAAGAAACAACCGTTGTACTCTTGTATAGAAAGAAGTAAGAATATGGATAATTAGGTTTATGGGTTTAGTTTTAACTATATCATTGTTTCAGATACTACTCCTAAGCATATTCAAAGAACAACGACTAGATCACCTACTAGACGTACAACTAGTTACGTCTCTAAAAGTACAACCATTATGTCTGATATCGGTGAGTACCTTTTAAATATATTACATGGTAACTACAAAAATCGATTTTCTTTATTATTCTTTATTCTTTTTACTTATGTCTGCATAGTGCCTATATATATATATATATATATATATATATATATATATATATAATATATATATATATATATATATATATGTATATATATATATATTATATATATATTATATATATATATATATATATAATATATTATATATATATATTATATATTATATATATATATATTATATATATATATATATTATATATATATATATATATATATATATATATATATATATATATATATATATATAATATATATATGAGAGTAAAACATTGCATTTCATTTCAATCGGAACTCCACCATTGCCCGACACGTGTTTCGGGTTATTCAACCCATCGTCAGGACCACTTGTGGAAAAACAACTGAAGTGAAATGCAGTCTAGTATTTGGTCATTATAACCAAAATAACAGCCAGGGTACGTTAGCAGCGACATCTATACGAAATAACAAGAAGTCGAGAGACCTCTCTGATAACAAATTAGGTGAACCGCAAATTCAAAGCCTCTTGCTAGAGGCTTTTAAACGACGCTAGAAGTAACCTTTATTTCGACATGCATCTACGATTCACATTTGAAAATTAACATCTTTTTCGCTGTTTACCTAGAGAAAGACGTTTAAATGAAACAAATAGGGGCAAACATCAAAATCCGTGATGTGAATCTGGTTACAATAATTTAAAGGAATTATTTAGGTCTTTACATAAACATGATATTTCGAAAGATCATACATACAGCCAGATTAAATTAGATTTATTTGGAAAACAAAATATCTATGTTTCATTAGATAATGGCCAACGTGAAAATGCTATTAAACATAACGAAATTGTAAAAAATAATCACACAGTTTTACGTCGTTTAATTGATATTGTAATTTTTTTAAGTTGTCAGGAATTATCATTTAGGGACACGACGAATCGGAGCATTCGTTAAATCAAGGTAACTAATAAAAATGTTTAAGAAATACGATTTGGAATTTTCTAATTTACTTTCTGATTCGAAGACATTTAGTGGTGTATCTAAAACAATCCAGAATGAATTAATAGAATCAATTAGTTACATTTTGAGTAATGTTATTGAATCTGATTTTCAGAAAACCAGTTGCTTTTCACTAGTAGATGAAACTACCGATCATGTCATTCACAATTATCAATTGTTGTTCGATACGCGTTACGTGGTAATATTTATGAGAGGTTTTTAGGTTTTACAGACGTGAGTAAAAGCCATAAGACAGAATATATTTTTGGTGTTTTATAGGACAGATTAAAATTTTTTGATATCAAAAATAAATTTGTAAAACTTATGACGGCGCTGCCGTGATGTCTGGTGAATTGAATGGTCTCCAGGCAAAAGTTAAAACTATTGCACCGCAAGCTTTATTTACTCACTGTCATTCGCATAGAATGAATTTAGTTTTGCAGGATAAATGTAAAAAAATAAAAGAATGTCGTCTTTCTTGCCAGTTTAAGCGAATTTACTTTTTCTCAAGTTAAAAAAAAATGCCAACAGTTTGTCAGACACGATGGAATTTTAAATCTTGGTTAGTTTTCACTCTACCAGATTTTCGTGAACAGCTTTTGAAAGTTTTTGATTTTATTATTGAATGCGACGATTTGAAACTGATGATATCTCGATCTGTGAAGCAATCGGTTTGTTATTAAATTATTACTCTTTTAACATACTTTTAAATATTTTTAAAAAGTTGTTTACCCAAACCGATTTGATATTCAATGTTGTTTAAAATCAGTTAACTGACTTTATTAATTCCAAAAGTAGAATAACAAAACTGGTGCAAAATCTCAGAGATTTTCGTAATAATAGTAATTTCCAGTATAAACGCAGTGACATTTTGGACTCGCTTGATATTTCCGAATCCCCCAAAAAAGACATAGGCATGACACACAAACAAATCTCGAGAAACGAGTATATTTGGAAATTTTGGATACTATTAGATATTATGCAAATAAATACTCGTTTTTCGATTTTTGAAGATTTGCAAATTTTTTACCATTTGACATTTGCAAAGTTACGCCAAAGAATTTCCAAAATATTTATTAGACAGATTAATTAAAAACTATCCATCATTCTTTAATAAAATAAAATTAGAAAATGAATTAGAAGTTTTATATGCTGATCCAAATATTTTCTTACAAGATATCTATAATTTTATATACTGCAATTCATTACAACAAACTGTTACCGAAATTAATAAATTATTGTCATTAATTCCCTCATTAGCACCAACGTCTGCTTCAAATGAAGGAGATTTCTCTTGTCTCGAAAGAATCGAAACGTATTGTCGAAACACCATGAAACAAGAGAACTTGTTTCATGGTGTTTTAGACACCATAGAATGGTGTCCAAACACCATGAAACAGAAACTTTTAAAATCTCTCCAAAACTCTAATAAATTTTACGATTAAGTTATAATCCATTTTGCTATTTCCAAACAACGTAGGCTAGAGTTCGCTTATAAACATGTTTATATTCTAAATTTATAGGAAAAAAAACAAAAAATCTCCTCATGATTGAAATCTTTATTAAACGGTATACCTATCTGACAAGACAAAAAATACCTTGCCGACCTTGTCTCTAAAGCCACGAGCCGCCAATGATTGCAAGCAATTGAATACGAAAATGAATGTCTAAAAAACATGTTGTATGTTGAGGTATAATATAATGTGAGGGTATTCTTGTGTCTAAGATTAAGATTATGAACGTCAGTCCAATTTGTTCGATTGTACAGGTATGGTGCAACTCCCTCGTGAATGCTTTTATGATATAAATATAAAGCATGAAGTTTCCGACGATATTTCATATTTAGCCATTTGACTACGGTGAAGGCATGACTTATCCTTTGAAATTTCCTGATGCCAAAAATCTTGGTGGGAAGACTTGGTGGACCTACTTAATAAATTACGGCTTTGATACAGTCATTTAAAAACGTAAGCTCTTTGTAAACAAACACTTACGTGATATGTAAACCTTAAATATTCGTCGAACCAAATCCGGAGGCTTTTAATATTTTTTGCTTAAAATTAAATTTTCATTTCCTAAGATAATTCGATTGACATAATTCTCTAAAAATATTTTCCTATGGAGATTCCTCCCGAATATGATACCCTGAGTTATCTCGAGATATCTTGAGAGGCTAACCGTTTTTCCCACTGCAAAGTATACCAATGAGTCCGGCTCACAAAAACCTGTATTTCTGTTACTGAACTCATTTTCGTCCAAAAATGGAGTTTCATCGTTTTCCCACCGACTCTACAATTTTAATACTCTCGGCTACTTGATAGTATGTGTGTATGTGAAAAGATGGCTTGGAAAAAGTGAAAAAATCATTTTTTGCGTATAAAACGTTTCTTATACATTTTGGAGAAAAATAATTTAAAAAAAGTTATAGATCTTGAAAAGTCCTTTAATTTTCCGAGTTTTTAAATTAAAATACGTAAACAATTTATTAGCGATTAATAAAAAAGCCCTTATTTTTGCAGTGATTTATAAATATTAATAACTGTGTTAAAAATGTAAGCTCTGACCTTTAACTGGAACTGTGTGATTTGCAGTCAAATCCTTTTCACCAAAAACGACCTAAAAGAGGATTTCCATTATTTAATAACATTAAGAGCTAAAAATTGAACAGATTATAAACAAAAATCTAAATTTTATGATCCATTTTATACACTACATATTCATACCGTATTCATACATATTCATACCATTTTATACAGCATAACTAATAAACCAAGTATAAAACTTTACTCAGAATAAGTCAGGTATAGGCAAAATCACTACCAATAAACACGGAATAACTTAGATATAGGTTATACTTGATATAAGAATTTATTCCAGGATTATACCGACCCACACCCTAGTTTAAATCTGGTATAACGGTATAACCTATTTTATGAATGTCAAAGTCATCAGTGACAAGAATATATTATTTTTTGTATTGTTGTCACGATGGAAAATACACGAAAAAGAAAAACTTTTAAAGAAAGTATAAATCCCTTTATTTGTAATCCTAAAAATGCACTGATAGAGAATTTAGAATAAAATATCAGTTTTACTATTTTTTGCTATTTTAAAATACTCAAACTCAACATATAAGATAACAAATAAAAATATTATATGGTGTCAGTTGCCCATTGTCAGTTTCAAAGAAAAATCAAAATTGACATATTTCACTCAATATGTCGTTGTTCTATGTATTTGTGCACAAGATTGCGACATTGCCAAACTATTATTTCGGAATAAAGTGGGAATACTTAAAACTAACTTAACCGAGTTTATTTGTAAGAAATTATTTTAGTATTACATTTACCTTATACTTAGGATAACTATTCTAGGTATAAATATGAGATAACCTTAGAATACGAGTGTTTTATTAGTAAGATAGTTAGATGCAAAAAAAAACGCAACGAAGAAAATTTTGGTTAAATTCAAAGTAATTAATTTTTTTTATTTTTAGCCCTATTTTGATGATTTTTTAGCACACTGTGTAACGATTTATAAATTTTAATTTAGTATAGTGAGTTTTTTAATAAAATGTTTTGTTTGACTTATTATACGGGTTTAATCGAAAGGTGGATTTTTATCCTAACTTTGAAACATTGTGTGGAATAATTCCGTTAGCGGATTTTCGTAAAACCTAGTTTTTTAGTTGCAACTATGTCTTCTACGCATTATGTTTTTTGTTTCATGGGAAAATACGGATTTGTTCATTTTTAGGAGCGAAATGACTTTGCCACCCACAATTCACGACTTTTCCTATTATTACCATTATCTTTTGTATTAATTTGTAATAAGACGATGGGGGCTTTAGTGACTCATATCGAAGGAATGTCATATCGAGATTCCAGAAGCACTGTATTTAAATAATAATTAAAAACAACGACATGATCTTGGTTTTAATGAACAATGATAACAATAACAAAATATAAAAAAAAAACAACTTAAATGTAACTTAACGTAAGTACGCAAATAACAAAGAAAAAGCACTAAAAAATAACTTAATACTTTGTATTGCCTCCCCTAGCCTCTATAACTTCCTGTACACATCGGCTCATGCT